AATTATTTATTCTAAGCAGGTACAGCAGGAGTTCCCAATCTGTGTCACTACAATCTGTCATCTCATATCTCTTATCTGAATTTCCCTCATTTCATTTATCAAATCTGTTGGTTACAATTGTTTCAATGTCAGGTCCATGTTGACCTCCATAGCTAAGAGAGCCAAAACAGCTTTCAGTTTAAAAACAAAGCAAAACAAAACAACCACTTGTTACTTGATATAATTGAAGTTGACTGTATCACTGCAAAGTCATTTAGCAACAGAGTTCCTTTTCCTAGCAGGGCATGCAGTTGGTAGTAACAGAGCATGCCTCACGTGCACTCAGATGGTCTCCTGGGCCAAGTCTGACCCTCCAAAATCAAGGAACAAGAGAAAAATTTAGTGAACATACCCAATCTCTCCTTTTAGAAGGCACTCTGAGAAGTTTGCCTTTGTGTGAGAGCCCGTGTACTTAGAAATCCTAAAACATACACAGTAGTAAGCCTTACATCTTCCAAATAGCCCTTTGGCTACTATAGGACATATGACTTGCTGTATTTTCTGTGGCCTAGAAATCTGCCAAATAGAAAGCAACAGTTGAGTAGTAGTTTCAGGTTTCTTTTGCTTTTTTTTATTCATTGTCCGTAAACATGTACAGTACCAACATGCTCAGGGAACTGTGTAAACGTGTGACATGGTCTTTGCCCCTAGACGTGCCAGCAATGCCCTGGAGAGACAGATTTACAAGGGATACATGTTAAGATTCTGTGTCACTAGTAAGGTACTCGGAAGGGTTAAGGAAAGGAAGTAATTACAGAGGTGTGAAGTTCAGAAAGGCTTCTTAGAACAGAGGGAGGCTTGAGCTGGCCCTATAAATAAAAGTAACAAACAGAAAAGGATGACCCTCCTAGACATGGGGAAACAATTATATTAATAAAGCATCCACCTGTAAAACAACGTGAGAGAAAGAAGTCAAGCTAAGTTTGACGGGCATTGTGGGTCCTATGGAAAGAAAATTGACAACCAATATTGTAAAACCAGGTGGCCACAAGATGCGAGGTATAAGAATGATATTAGGAATTCATTCACACACAAAAAAAATTGACAAAAAAAGTTGTTTTGCTCCTAACAGCTCCCGATAAACGGGGAAACTACCTCCAAGTTAGATATTACTAGCACATTTCTATGAATTTCTATGAATATTGATATCCCTACATGATGAAAATTCTTAATCTAAAAACATAAGATGAACCCCAAAACTCTCTTAGTTACAATAGTGACATACTGAGTAATTCCTGCTGTGCATGGTTTTTCCCCAAATAAAATAAAACTAATTCTCAATCGGTTTCCCAAAGGCGTCTTCCTAGAGTTTTAAGAATAAGTATTTTGAGCTGTTTGGACTGCAGAAGGCAGGTTTGTACACTGAAGGGTGGGAAGAAGGTAGATGAAGGGGTTGAGCTTGTTTCCAAACTCCACCAAAGATGTAAAAACTCAAAAAAGCAAGAGAGAAAATATTAACTTAAGGAAAATCAAACTGCCAAGATTTATTTAACTTTTTCCTTTCACAGAAAATACAAGTATGTAATGTAAACACTGACATGTGAAATAAAGCACAAGGACCAGGCAAATAAATTGGACAATACTCGTGCTTCAGCACTGTGTTGCTTCTTGATTTCATTTGCTGCATGAAACACGTGATTATGTGCACTGGAAAAATTGAAGGCAACATTCAGATTTATTGAAACACCAGAGAGCCTCTGAAATCCATCGATACTATAACAGAAGTTTGATCCTTCTCTTGCAAAAAAATTAAAGCTGAGCACATGTTCATTTATCAATTTACCAAGGCAATTAATTTAATGTAGGTGCATGAATGAATTAACACATGAGTTTTAATATGGCTGTGCAGGCAAAGATTAAATTGTGCCTCTTTTCCCTCTACGGAGGAAATAAAATTAACCCAATTAAAAGCAGAGCTGCCTAACACCGGCCAGAAGGCAGCACAATCACAGGGAGTTCTTACCTCAATAAATCCCTTGAAGTGCAAAATGCAGTGAAGGATTGCCATTGATGGTTTGCCCAATGTTGCAGAAGCCCATGGGGTTTTCATGAGTCTTTCCCAGAACTCAAAAATAGGAACAATGGCCCTGGCTAGTATGGCTCAGTGGCCTGAGCGTCAGCCTGTAAACCGAGGGTTCGCTGGTTTGATTCCCAGTGTAGGGCACATATCTGGGTTGCAGGCTGGGTCCCCAGCAGGGGGCGTGTGAAATGCAACCACACATTGATGTTTTCTCCTCTTTCTCTCTCTCTTCCCCTCTCCAAAAATAAATAAATACATCTTTTAAAAAATAGGAAAAATGGCCCAAATAAATGGTTGGGATCAAGAATCACCTTGATTTAAAACAGTATGTTCCTAAACTTGACTTCAGTACTAAATAATATGGGCTTCAATTTTCTGTGACTATCCCAAGAGATTAAAATAACCAGTCTTCTTTCTTATCACGTGATGACTACCACGTGACAGATAAACTTTGATAATAGATGTCTACTACACAGTTTGGTTCATTAATGGGACTCAGCGTCATAAGATGTGGTGTTCGGGTATGGCTGCTTAAGAAATCACAGATCACAGTCCTGGACTGCCTACTCCTACACTCAGATCCATAATCAAAAGTTATTACAAATAATCCATAGTCCTTCATTCCTTGATATTCAACAATCTATGGAGAAATAAGTACCTAAGACACTTTATTCTTACAATGGGCAGAGCAGTTGACTCATGCAGAACATTGATTCTCAAAGGAGAAATGTTACTTTGACCAGGCGTTTTGAAAATCTTTTTCCCCAGCAAAGCTAACTTCACTGTATTGCTGAGATGGGGATTTTTAAATGTGTTTTTATCATGTGAAAAATGCCTCTATAACAAAAGCCATTAATTTTCTACCCCTGACCTATAGCATTGGCATAATGTCTGCAATTTATCGTGTTCTCCCTAAAGAAAACCAAAATCAGGTTTTAAAAGGAATAGGAACTGATATTCCCAAGGAATCCCTGGATCAATCATGACCTTTTAGTTCTTGCCCAGAAGCCTTTTTTGTCATGTGCAAGATGATGAAATAGATCAGCATTGTACCACTTTGATTTACAAAAAGCCACTCAACATGGGCCCCCATTACTGAATGTTCTTATTCACCTCTGCACAAAGTCCAGGGCTTTAGCCACTGTGAAGCACACACAGGAAGTGCACTATCCATGTAGGCATGGCAAGATGTTTCACTGAAAACTCCTGTAGTCAGCCCAAATGTGACAATATTTGGAAAAAAGTAATCAAGTATTGAGAATTAAATGCTAGAAACTTCAAAGCAGCAAGTGGGACCCCAGTTTATCTTCACTCTCCAGGTATCGTTCTGCACTGTCTAGACCTAGTGCCTCTCCAGTGCTTCAACTGGATCTCAGATCTTCCTTCAGAGGGGAGTCTTTTTATAGGGTAACCAGCCATTTCTTTCCTTTTTACTTCTTTTTTCCTCTCAGGATCAGTTCCTATTGAAAGCCCTTCTGTTTGAAAAATGAAAGATGGGAACTCTGAAAAATAGATTCAACCTATTTCCATATCCTAGACACATTTACTTTTATGAAAATAAGGCACCTATTATGTGGCCCCAGGTTGACTATAGAAATGGAACGAATACTGGATCCTGAGTGGCTAAAAGGAGCATGACTTCCAAACATGAACACTGTTTTCCTGCCACCGGCCAGGCTGTACCCTGAAGCACTGCTGTGATGAGAGTCTAACCAACAGAAACACTGGAGGCTCCGAAGAACTCAAAAGAAATACAGATAAAATTCTTTGTTATAATATAAAGTTACAGGTCTCTGGCCAACCTCACAATTCTTTCAAATAATGTTTAGATGGGAAGTTAGGCAACCCAGCTTCCAGTCCAAGTGCTGTCACTGGCTGTGTGACCTTGTGCGACTTTACCTCCCCCTGCAGTCTCAGTTCTTTAATCTGTAAAATGGGTATAAAACCACTTGCTTTGTCTACCTCACGTTGTGACTGAGGATCAAATGAGATTAACGCAAAAGTGCTTTATAAACTACGAAATATCATGAGAAAGGTAAAGTCATAGTACATAGTTATTAAAATATTACATCCTTATAACTGCCTACTGGACAAGAAGTGCCCCATGCAAGATGTCCTTTTCCATATACAGATTCAAAAATAGGAACTATAAATATACACTGGTCTTTCTGACTAGGATTGTTTCAAAAAAGAGAAATTCTCGATCTCCTCAGAAATGGCCACACAATACATTACTTTAAAATGTGATGTTATCCAAAATTACCAATTGATAGAATTAATTTTCTCTGAATGTGTCCTGTACAGTTACAGTCTTGTCTAGTGATACCTTTACACAGGAAGGTCTTGAATTCAAGAAATTACATGCTAAAACTTAAAAAAAAAACACCTCATAGTTTGTTGTAAAGGAGATAAAATGAAAATAAGAGGCATCCTAAATAATGACATGAGGTCACAGTTGCTCAAATAGTTGCCTTTTTCCTGAGATATCTCCAGAACAGAGTCCTAGTCCTGTGACATTCTTTAGAGAAGCTTAGTCTTACTGGAGGTGAAAAGGACATGTCAGTAGGCAACTGGACTGTGTTTATTTTCAGCACTAGGATTGGAACAACAATGTCTGCTAGAAGCTGCCAAACAGCTTTGGTGGAGAAGCCCATATGGCCCAAGAGAAGCCTGTTAGTTCTTGGATGCCAGAGTGTGGGGAGCAGCGACACAGCCATCCAGCTTAGAGATTTTCAATTCTTCCTTTGAGTTGATTCTGCTCTTCTCCAGTCTAATAAACAATTGAACAGAAGAAAAACAATGAGATGTGGAATCCTCTATCTACTGGACTTTAGGGACTTTCTCTGCCTAGCTGTAAAAAGTTTACATGCAGAACAGAGACACAGGCAAGAAATAAATTTGATTGACTCTGACTAGCCCAAAGCACCCAGATTCCAGTATTGGTGTCAGATGGCCTTTATTACAAATGTTACAAACGATGACTTGGAGGGAGTCCTGTTAGTGGAATCATTAGAACAACAAATGGTTGTCCTTTGGGGCCACAGGCGTGTTGCTACCCTCCACTTTTCTTCCTGATTTGCTTTGCTTTCCGGGGTTTGAGGATGCTATAGTTTGCATACACTGTATACTGATCTGACAGGAAGGGGACATAAAATGCCCGCAGCAGCTTTGAAGATCTGAAAAACAAGGAGGGAAAAAAAGACAGAATTTTATCATTTGAGAGAATTTATTAATGGTATTGAAAATTATTCAAGGAAATAAACTAAGTGCTCAGAAAGGATTATATTTTATATAAGCAGCACATAAAAAGTCTGTTATTTAGCTATTAGATCATGATAAAAGACTTAATCAAAACCAAGTACCTTGTTACCTACACAAAAAGACAGTCTCCCTATCATGCCATAGTATAACCTCCAAACAGCACTAGGTCTTCTCTTTGCATTAAAATATACCATAGCAAAGTTCCAGGCTAATCAAAAGACTGCTATTACCGAAATAAATTCTTAATACCCAATGGCTTCTGAAAACACACACACACACACACACACACACACACACACACACACACACACACACACACACAATGTAGAGATGCTCAAATGACCCTGATTCTAGCAGTAAATTTTCCTAGAAAGATAAAGAAAAGTATGTCCTAGGCTTCCTACACAAAGTGTTCCAGCAATTCTTAAGTCAAAGAGAGAGTTTTACACACAAGCTCATGTTATGACATGTCCCTGGCAAGTTATATGTATATATTTGTTACTAAAATATTGGGACAAATGAAAACCTGATTTTTTTACAAAGTTTCTGAAGAATTTCAAAAATATTTCACACTTATTGAACACTTAACATTGGAAAAACACTAGGAAAGTGTTTATTTTTAAATTTTTTTTTGTTTTTAGATTTTATTTACTTTCTTAGAGAGAGTGTAAGGGAGGGAGAAAAAGAGGGAGAGAAACATCAATGTGCGGTTGTCTCTCTGGTGCCCCCTACTGGGGACCTGGCCTGCAACCCAGGCATGTGCCCTAACTGGGAATCAAAATGGCAACTCTTTGGTTCGCAGGCCAGCGCTCTATATATATATATATTTTATTGATTATGCTATTACAGTTGTCCCATTTTTTTCCCCTTTATTCCCCTCCGACCTTCACCCTCCTCCCACCAGCATTCCCCTCACCCTAGATCATGTCCATGGGTCATACATTAAGTTCTTTGGCATCTCCATTTCCTATACTATTCTTACCCTCCCCCTGTGTATTTTCTACCTACCATTTATGCTTCTTATTCCCTGTATCTTTTCCCCCATTCCCTCACTTCCGCCTCCCCTCTGATAACCCTCCATGTGATCTCCATTTCTGTGATTCTGTTCCTGTTCTAGTTGTTTGCTTAGTTTGTTTATTTTTTTTAGGTTCAGTTGTTGACAGTTGTGAGTTGTCATTTTACTGTCCATAGTTTTTGATTTTCTTCTTTTCCTTAGATAAGTTCCTTTAACATTTCATATAAGGACTTGGTGATGATGAACTCCTTTAACTTGACCTTATCTGGGAAGTACTTTATCTGCCCTTCCATTCTAAACGATAGCTTTGCTGGATAGAGTAATCTTGGATGTAGGTCCTTGTCTTTCATGACTTTGAATACTTCTTGCCAGCCCCTTCTTGCCTGCAAGGTTTCTTTTGAGAATCAGCTGATAGTCTTATGAGAACTCCTTTGTGGGTAACTGTCTCCTTTTCTCTTGCTGCTTTGAAGATTCTCTCCTTATCTTTAATCTTGAGAACTTAATTATGATGTGCCTTGGTGTGTGCTTCCTTGGGTCCAACTACTTCGGGACTCTCTGAGTTTCCTGGATCTCCTGGAATTCTATTTCCTTGGCCAGATTGGGGAAGTTCTCCATTATTTTTTCACATAAGTTTTCAATTTCTCGCTTTTCCTCTTCTCCTTCTGGCACCCCTATGATTTGGACGTTGGAATGTTTAAAGTTGTCCCAGAGGTTCCTAAGGCTCTCCTCATTTTTTTGAATTCTTGTTTCTTCATTCTGTTCTGGTTGAATGTTTATCTCTTCCTTCTGCTCCCAATCATTGATTTGAGTTCTGGTTTCCTTCCCTTTACTGTTGGTTCCCTGTATATTTTTCTTTATTTCACTTTGCATATACTTCACTTTTTCCTCCATTTTGTGACCATATTCAACCATTTCTGTGAGTATCCTGATTACCAGAGTTTTGAACTGTGCATCTGATGAGTTGGCTGTCTCCTCATTGCTTAGTTCTATTTTTGGACCTTTGATCTGTTCTTTCACTTGGGCCATATTTCTTCGTCTCAGAGTGCTTGTTACATTGGAAAGGGTGGAATCTTACGTATTCGCCCGGGCAAGCAACCCAGGTCACTGCATTGTGACACTGTGTGTGGAGCGGGGTCCAAAAGGGAACAGTGCTACTTGCTGGGATCTCGGCCAGCTTTCAGTCACTTCCTTCACTACTCCCAAGCAAACTGGGCCCTTCTGGTGCCGATTTCTGGGTGGGTGGGTTTGTGTACATTCTAGGACCCTGTGGGTCTCTCCAACGAACTCTCCTGTGAGGCTGGGAGTTTCTCCTGATCCCACACCCCCCACCAGTTTTTACAGCCAGAGGTTTTGAGGCTTTCTTTTCCTGCACTGGAACCCCGGATTGCACGGTCTGTCTCGCTCCCCAGTTATTCCTCCCAGTGTGTCTGCATGCAAATGTGGGACCAGCTGCCGCCTCACCCGCCCAGTCCTCCAGCTGCCACCTTGCTTTGTGTCCTCTCCACCCAGTTGCCTGACTCCACCCCTTCTACTGGTCTGGATGACTGTTTCTACTTCAACTCCTTGGTTGTCGGACTTCTGTATAGTTTAATTTTCTGGCAGTTCTAGTTATTTTTTGTTTTTAAATTTGTTGTTGTCCTTCTTTTGGTTATGCGAGGAGGCAAAGTGTATCTACGGACATCTCCATCTTGGCCAGAACTTACACTTGAAAAGTTATTATTTAATCCATCCAATAATCCTAGGAAGAAAGTGATATTATTATCCCTATGTTATAGCTGGGAACTGAGACTTACATAGATTAAGTAGCTTGTTCAGGGTTCACACAGTAAGTGACAAAGCCCTCATTCACATCCAGATTTGACTCCAGATTCTGCACTCAACTACGATAGTTTGTCCTACAGCCCAGGAAGAAGCTAATGCGATTCATCACTTTGTAGAAAAAGTGGGAGTGACAGTTTCAAATCCTATACAAAGTATTACTTCTTGACTGTGATTTCTGAGTCAAAAAATCAAAGTTGGCCCAGTGACTGCCACCCTACATGGTGTAGCTGAAGGGTGTTCCATTGCCAGTCCTTTTCCAGACTGTAAACTTGTAAATGTCATGTCAATGTGGCATTTGTACTGGCAGCCTGCCCCTGGGGTTGGCAGCCTCCTGCAATGCCTGCACACGATGATATCGTGCTTGGCATACACCTCTTAGAGAGTCTTCCCAACTGGGGCACTGGCAGCACTCTCCACTCAGCAGAGATGCGCTTCACCTCAACAGCTACCAGCTCAAGGGCTTTGACAGAGAAAAGAGGCTTAGAAGAGAGACACATGAGATTTATCAGCAGGGTTCCTGCAAACAAAAGGAACAGGTTGGGGAAGCACCTACCTGAGTCAGAAAGAAGTGAATTTATTCTTTCTGTCCATGCTGCATAGATAAGGGGAAGGTCAAAACGAAAGGCTGTAAGCCAGAGTAAACTCCTGCAAGTTTACGTTTCATAAAGAAAGGCTAAAACTAATTAAGTGTCATTTCCAGTCCAATTGACTGCACGATAAAAGCTTCATTAATGGAGTCAGCATGTATTGCCAGTCAACTCAGTCCCTGGGATAACATTAGGGCCACTGGGGCCAATTTTAGTTTTTGAGTTTCTTTTTGGACTCAAAAACTAAATAGCCTGCTCTTTGGGAGGGTTATTACTTCATAATGTTAACCTTTTTAGAGTCTTCCAAAGAATAAAGAGAGATTATACTTATTTTTAAAAACAATAAAACTCATTTTATCTTGTAATGCCGTATGGATCCATTTTAACCTTTTTATAAATTTAAGCTATATTATAGGATCTTAGTGGTCTTATTTTTGTTTGTATATTGGATTATTTACAATTAGGCTTTAAAAAAAAGACAAATAATAAGAAAAAGGAAAATGATAAAATTATCAAAAAGAATGATGCAAAGTGAAATAAATACTATTAACCTTCAATTTTCTTATTGCATTGCCCAAAGTATTGCATCATCTTTAAATAAGGTATAAAAGACTGAAGACACTATCTTTGCAGTCTGCTTTCAACTTTCATTGAACACAGTTGAGAATTCAGAATTTAAAATATTTCAGTCCATAACGGCAATGAGAAGAAAAATGAGAGAAGACCCTTCAGTTATTAGACAAAGTAGCAGATGAGTGCGAAGAGACAAATGGGAGCACTCAAGGCCCTGACGATGGTGAGGTTGATGATACAAGCAAAATTTATGTGTCTTCAAGTGACAATATACTAAATGAACTTTCTCAAACTCAAGAATTAATGAGTAAACCATGTATTTCTAAGAACGAAAAGGAAATAAGGTACTTTCATTCCCTTAGTCGTTCAAGAGGAAAGATTTTATAATGCAACATTTTGCAACAAGAACCTGGACCATCCTATTATGCTAACAGGGCATATGACCATATTCTTGCATCCTTTATGAGATATGTGCCAAATTTTATTTAATAAAGTTCATAAGTGGACAAATGCTGAAGGCAGGTTCATAAACAAAGGTGACTGGAAGGATTAGATGATAAAGAAATAAAAAATTCAATGAATTGATCATTTTATTGGTGTTTATAAATCCCAAAATGAAAATGAATTATAGAGCAAAAAAGATAACTGTCCTCTTTTTGACAAAACTGAGCCATTAAAGGTTTCAAAAAGTTTTCAAATTTTGCATTTTGATGATACAAGTGCAAGAACAACTAGAGTAATAAGTTAGAATCTATCAGAGATATATCTGAAGCCTAGAACCAGTATTTTCAAGATGGATATATTATGCAAAATTATGCAGCCCCTAGAATATAGCAGAGGATTTTTGTTTTGTATTTTACCACATATTGCTTTTTTCTTCTTTACTACCTACTTTGCCTTCCATTTGTTATGAAAAAAA